GGTCAGGGTGAGACCATATTTTGCTCCGCTGGGCAAGCGGAGTGAGTCCCCAAATCGGTTGCAGAGTGGGGGCAGGAGTCGAAACTCCTGATCTGAGCGCGTGCGCTCATTCCTGAGCCCGCGTGCTCCTGACGCGTGGGGCCGTGCGCACGTGGGTGGGCCCGGGGGCGGGGAAAAGTTTGGAAAAAAGTTTGCTCCACCAAAAGTTTGGTAGAAAGTTACATCGAAAATTACAACAAAACTTTCTGAGACAAAGTTTGCAGAAAAGTTGCACTATAAAACTTTCTGAAACAAAGTTTCCAGAAAAGTTGTACCAAAACTTTCCAAAAATGGAAAGCTGGTGGGAACGAAACTTTCCAAACAAAAAGAAAGTTGCGGGCTGTCTGGTCGTCGGATGCGCGCGTACGCGTCCGCGCGGGCGCGTGCGGAATAGCCACGCCAGGCAGGAGTCATCCCCCTGCCCCCGCCCCACCCCTTGCTACTAAAGAGGATGAGATCTATCACTATCTCCCTTTCTTTGTCATCTAATTTATTTTATTTTTTATAAGTTTTAGTATAGAAAGTTTTCTTGGATTATTTTTCATAAAAGATTGTCAAAAGATTTCCATATTATGATTTTACTTTATAAAGTTCCTCTCATAAAATTTCATAAAACATTTTATCTAAAATGGAATGTAAAAATTGAGACTTCACTGCTATGTATATTGCAATAGTCAATTTCTAGTGTTGTTGTTGCTTGTAAGTTCGCATGTTGCAATATATAGGTTTTCATGAGTTCAAATATGTATCTATATTTGTTGCTACCGAAATTAATTGAAAAATTGAAATGGAAGTCACATGTGAGAATGCAAAGAGCTGGCATTGCTTGCTTGTGTGTGTGTGTGTGTGTGTGTGTGTGTGTGTGTGTGTGTGTGTGTGTGTGTGTGTGTTTTAAAAGAGCAGGATCAAGGACCAGCTCGGTACACGATGACCTCCATTCTGTCCTCCACGACCTCCCCCACTCAAGGATGGTGTCCACACTAGTGCCGGTGGGCAGTGATGTGGCTTGAGTCTCACCACCTCCTCAGTTCTTGACTTCACTTACTGTGACTTTGTCAGCCAGGAGGCGCCACTATCTTGTCATCATGGCAAATGTAGAAAGAGATTTGTTAATTCTCTATCAACGATCCGGGCAACGATGTGGATCCACACCACACGCTCGCCTCCTCCCCGGCCCTCGACTTCACAGCCGGTGACTTCACCCGCCGCTTGACGACGGCCCGGGACGTTGTCTCTGTAAGCGGCTGCAGCCTCCATCTTCCACTTCGTTGGGTCGGTCGCGGCTGCCATGGCGAGCGGATTTGACGCCGGGTCAAGGTGATGGGGCGTTGCAACTAGGCGCTGATAATGAAGGATCGTTCCTCAAGCTACCCGACGACCTGTTGCTGGCGAGGAGTACTCTTTGGACCGGTTCAGCCTCCGCGCCGTCGTGCCCGGCGCGCCCAGGCTCGGTGGTCTCCGCTCTCTCTCCCTCAGCAACGCCAAACAGGGCTATGTAGGTCGGTTGGCCCGGGATTCGTAGCCATGCAAGTTCCATCAGATACGTAGTTATGTCCAGCCAACAGATATGAGATATCTAACCTTTCCAGATTAAAAACATCGAAACCGATGTGACCGGCCTTGCTTCCTCGTATGAATAATCTTGTTCAGGCCGTGTCTCCAATAGGATCCTATCAATAGGAGCTGACTCAGGGTTTTTTTTAGCAGTTAAGGGCGCATTGCGGCCTCATATAGGAGCGCACGAGTGGCGAACAAGCATGACATCAAAGGCCAAAACCTTATCAAATATTGACGTCAGCGGCCCATCACTGGAACCTCGGGCCATTTTTTCTTCTTTCTCAACCCAATTCGGTGCATCAAAAGGCTGTGACAGCTCTAGGACTTCAAGTATAGGGGTACAAATTAAAGCATACCATTCACCAAAATTCAAGTATGAGCAACAAAAAGATAACGTGGTTTTTTCATTTGTCTTGCTCCCTCCAAGTCGTCTAGCATTTGATAAGGTTTTCTATGTATATAATATGAGATATGGTATGTATACATTATACTTCCTCCATCCAACAATATAAGGACGTGGGGGTCTTCCAAGGTAAAACAAGCAGAAGAGGAAAAGACACTGTTGCCCTTCTTCAATACTCCCAATTTTGCCTCCGCCGAGCGAGTCGTGCGCCGCGGAGCTGGCCGTGCTCCCCCTCCGCCGCGCCGTCGCACCGTCCGCCTCCACCATGCCCGTGGAGGAGTCCACATGGCGCCGTCGATTCGTCCGCGCTCCTCCTCCGCCGCGTCATGGAGCGAGCCGCGCAGGCGGCGCTCCTCCTCCGCCACGCCATGGAACGAGTCACGTAGGCGGCGCTCCTCCTCGGCGCCATGGAGCGAGCTGCACAGGCCGCGCTTAGCCTCCTCTGCGCCGTAGCGCCGCCCGTCTACGCCGCGCAAGAAGCCTCGCCTGGATCTGAGCGCGGTCGTCTTCTCCTCCCCTGCCGGATCTAACAGGCAGGATTCCTCAATGATGTTGGACGTCATGTGGAGAGAGAGAGAGAGAGAGATTTGGGTCGTCGGCCATCCGGACATGGAGAGAGAGACTGCGAGAGAACCGATGGGGAGAGAGTTCCGGCGCTGGGATGGGGAAGAAAGGAGACAGAACTCTGTCGTTTAGCATTGGATTGGTGGAATTAATTGTTGTGCAGGTGGGACCCAGCTCTAGGGGTCCTTGTATTGTTGGACAAATGCATATGGCTCCAGGTCCTTATAATCCTGGACGGAGGAAGTAGTTTGTAAAAAATTTAGGGGGACATTGTCTCCCCATGTAACACCCCCCCCCCCCCCCCCAAAAAAAAAATCCGCATATGGCATATAAAAGTAAAAGAGCCAACCCTAAACCCTAACCTATCCCTCTTCTCTCCCCTTTCTCCCACACCCGCCGCCGCTCTCTCAGTCCTCCGCCTCGAACACCTCTACTACTAAAATCCGGCACTCCTCAACCTACGCCTTCGCCCGCCTCTAGCTCCCTCCCCCACGCAGGCCTCTCCCTCTACCACGCATTGCCGCTCCGCCGGGGCCTACGTCATCATCTTCGTCCTCGACAACGGAGAGCGGCGGTTCTGCAGTGCGCGGCTGGTGGCGCACTAATCCTTAGGCACAACACGAGGGAGCGGCTACTGCGCGGATCAAGCCCAAGGTAAGAGCCATCTTGATCTGACTTGGAGCATATTCTATTTGGGGATTTTTTTTGACTTGGTTTGGCACAACTTGATCCGATCTGGTGGCGTTCCTGCAGATCTTCTGCTTCGTCGGATGTAGCTCTATGCATGGCGAGTGCTATGGGCAGATCTGTGCGAGCTTGATGGTGTAGTTCGACAGCGCTACCGGGAGGCACGGCTCGATGGTGGTGGCAAGACATGTGGGTGGCATCACCACGACTTGAAGGTACAAATATGCATGCATGTTATTTTTGTGAACCTACGAGAGTTTGCTAGATAAACAGAGGGAAGGCATGCACAGGCTAGGGGCGAAGTCTAGATGTGGGCTTGCGACCGCCCTGGTGGTGGGCCGGCCTCTACGCATGTGGATTTTAAAGGTAAGGAAGTACTTTTTTAGGGGAGCCACATGGCGCGCTTTATTAATTAGAAAAATATAGTTACATGGTTCACTGGTGTTGCATAATGTAGCAGGGTGTCATCAACCCAGGTATATAACATGTTTTTTCCTAAAAAGCAACCCTAGCCAACTCATGTGCAACCTGGTTTGCCTCCCTATTACAATGCTCTAAAGAAATACAATCAAAACCGTGTCACATCAGATTGCATTCATCGTAGATAGCCGCTCCGGCCAACAAAGAGAATGTTGTTCCCTTGCCCGCCCTGCCCCTTGCTAGGAGATAGGGTAAGATCTATCACAATTCATTGTCTTCCAATTTCTTGAATTATTTTCATAAAATTGTAAAAAAAAAATCCATTTCCCCCTTCTTTCCTTTAAAAAATGTCTCTCATAAAAATTCCTAAATTGTTTTCTCTAAAATGGGATGGGAAAAATGAGACTTCACTACTATTTATATTGCAGTAGTTAGATTTTAATATTGTTTTTTAGTTGTACCTATGCATGTTGCAATATATATAGGTTGTCGTTCGGTCATACCCGATGTTTCGGTCTAGTTTTTTTTTTTTTTTGTCTTTTTAATTTTTGGTTATCTAGAACTGCTACCCAAAATAACAATGAAAATTTGGATACCCCACAACTTTTGGTCCAAAATAATACACTCGGCAAAGAGCTCTTTGCCGAGTGCATTCTTTCCGAGTGTATTATCTTTGGCACTCGGCAAAAGTGAAATTCAAACCACATTTTGAAGACCTAAATGAATTCAAATTAAAAAGTGTTGAACAAGAAAGTTGTATAACTTCTGAAGGTACACAACTCTTATTTGGATTTTTTTATTCAACAAAATGATAGTAAAGTTGTTCACAAAATCTATATCTCTGGTACAAAATCTATATCTCTCGTATAGTTTCATCAAACTATAAGAGAGATACATAAGATTTGTGGATAATGTTACTACAACTATGTCGGGTGAACAAATGACCCAAAAAAAAGTTGTGGATCTTCAGAAGTTATACAACGTTGTTTTCGAACATTTTTTAATTCGATTTAATTTTCTCAACAAAAAAGTATGTTTGAATTTCTTAAATTTGAAACAACCTCAGATAGAGAAACAATAAAAATAAAAGTTGACAACTTTTTGATTTCAAATCATTTTGTCAACAAAAACTAACTTTGAATTTTCAAATTTGAAATTCAAATTTTGTAAACGACCTTGGATGGATAAACTACCAAAACAAAATTTGTAGATCTCGAAAAGTTATGAAACTTTGTAGTTAACAACTTTTTAAAATTCATTTAGGGCCACAAACTAGAAATTTACACTCGGTTAAGTATGTATGGAATTAAAACGGAGTATACACATATGTGAGAGTGTGGTGCAGTGGTAGATAAGCTTAAACCTTAAGAGAAGATTGTGGGTTCGAATCCCACCGTTCGTGTAGTGTACGAAAAAAGATGCAACTCGCGATTTTTTTCCATTTTACACTTTGCCGAGTGTAAAATGAAAACACTCAGCAAAGAGCTATTTTTGCACCGAGTGTACTTTTAGCACTCGTCAAAGCATGAATTTCCGGTAGTGGTAGCTAATAGCAAGCTCTCTATGATCTCTTGCCTGAAGTTGTTGAAGTCATGAAAAGAATTCACTTCATGTTGTTGAAATCAGCAATTCATCACATTATGCAGTGTAGCACGCGCTGCCTCCGTGCGGTCAATTTATAATTTCATTTTTTTTTCCTCAAATCTTCAATTCCCAATCTCTAGTTTATTATCCCGAGAAAAACCAACACTACCTCCGTGCGGTCAAATTTCAAATGCTTTGACTAAAATAATGGCAGACACCTCCAAATTCGGCTAGTTGATGCGTAGAACTGCAACGTCGTAGCAACGCGTGTCATAGTCAAAGACGAAGAGTAGAGTTATTTAGCACATTAATTCCAACTCCATTACGCGCTCTATAAGACGGCTTAGGCACCCCTCAAAGCTTTACAACCAAAGCTGCAAGTGCACCTCTCGTCTATTCAAGGTTTGGTAATTGACACTAATCTTCTTTCCCTATGGTTCGATGCATGTTGTGTTTTTTTTCTCTAGCTTATTGTTGAATATTTTATCTGATCGGGCCTGTGATTGTTGCATGTAGTGTGTGCTTAGCCATAAGTTGGTGGAACAACGACAAAAATGATAGCGTCGGTGGCAGCGGTCCGAGGGGCGCACCGAGGGTAAAATGAAAACACTCAGCGAAGAGCTCTTTGCCGAGTATTTTTGTACCGAGTGTTGTTTACACTCGGCAAACACTTTGCCGAGTGTTTTCAAGGCTTTATCGAGTGCTTCTGGCACTCGGCAAAGCATGAATTTCTGGTAGTGGTAGCTAATAGCAAGCTCTCTATGATCTCCCACCTATAGTTGTTAAAGTCATAAAAGGCATTCACTTCATGTTGTTGAAATCAGCAATTCATCACATTATGCAGTGTAGTAAGCGCTGCCTCTATGGGATCAATTTATAATTTCATTTTTTTTCTCTCTGTACGAATCAACAAAGCTACGGTGGTCCTGCTCCCGGTGTGCAGCAGAGCTTTGTTTACTGAAATGTGATCACATTGTCACACCCATAAACACTTTACTTAACAAGCAACGCCGAGCATCTGGTTTGGCCGTTGGTGGAGGGGAGAAGTGTGCTGCTCTTCGATTGGATTCCCTTGTTTCGAGGACGGAGAAGGACTCTTGTGCTAGCTGCGCTGGTGCGAACAGTCGGATGCACATCCTCGGCAGTCGACAGAAAGCGTCATCGTGCAGTCAAGCCGCAAATCCACTGTGCAACAAATCCATGGGTGGTGGCCTGTTGCTGCCGTTGTTGCTCCGGCTATCATGTGCGGCCAAAGCCGGCCGTATAGAAACACGGAAAGCAGAGCAAGCTTCAATTCCCAATACCTTGTTTATCATGAGAAAAATCAACACTACCTCCGCGCGGTCAAATTTCAAATGCTTTGACTAAAATAATTCCAGACACCTCTAAATCCGGCTAGTTGGTGCGTAGAACTGCAACATCATAGCAACGCGTGTCATAGTCAAAGGCAGAGACTAGAGTTATTTAGCACATTAATTCCTACTCCATTACACACTCTATAAGACGGCTTAGGCACCCCTCAAAGCTTCACAACCAAAGCTGCAAGCGCACCCCTCCTCTATTCAAGATTTGGTAATTGTCACTAATCTTCTTCCCTATGGTTCGATGCATGTTGTGTTTTTTTTCTCTAGCTTATTGTTGAATATTTTTATCTGATCGGGCCTGTGATTGTTGCATGTAGTGTGTGCTTAGCCATGACCTGGTGGAACAACAACAACAATGATAGCGTCAGTGGCAGCGGTCCGAGGGGCGCACCGAGGGTAAAATAAAAACACTCGGCGAAGAGCTCTTTGCCAAGTATTTTTGTACCGAGTGTTGATTACACTCGGCAAACACTTTGCTGAGTGTTTTTAAGGCTTTATCGAGTGCTTCTGGCACTCGGCAAAGCATGAATTTCCGGTAATGGGAGCTAATAGCAAGCTCTCTATGATCTCCCACCTATAATTGTTGAAGTCATGAAAGGCATTCACTTAATTTATGTTGTTGAAATCAGCAATTCATCACATTATGCAGTGTAGTAAGCGCTGCCTCCATAGGATCAATTTATAATTTCTTTTTTTCTCTTTGTACGAATCAACAAAGCTACGGTGGTCCTGGTATAGATGGCCAAATGGGCGGCCCGGCCCAGCACGGCACGGGCCCATCAGGGCACGGCCCATTTGCCATCGGGCTGGCACGGCCCGACAGTTACATGGGCCGTGCCGTGCTCGCCCATGGGCGGGGGGGGTCAGCCCATGGCACGGCCCTTGTAACTTAGCTGTGCCGGGCCGGCCCATTTAGCCTGAAAGCCTGAGGAGGCCCATGAAGCACGAAAGCAGAAAAACGGCCCATGACGCCCACGAACACCAGATCTGGCTGGAGAGGGAGGAACCGCCGGCGGCGCGACGCGCACGAACACCAGAGGAGGCCGGGCGACCTCGCGGCGCGACCGGGCGACGGCCTCCGCCTCTGCCCACCACAAGACGATGGCCGGAGCAGCGGAGGACGCGCGAGCTGGAGCCCCGCCCGAGCTCGACCAGGCAACAGGACGACGGGCTGCTGCCTCGAGTGAAGCATCTGGCGCGCAGCCTCGAGCCCTCGACCGCGGCGGACGGCTTCCTCATCGACCTTGGAGCGGCACGTGGCCTTGCTGTCCTGGCGGTGCGGCGAGCTCTAGGAGCAAGGGGATGTGGGGAGGGAAGGAGCGGAGGCTGGAGGGGAGGGGACTAGGGGAGGGGAGGCGGCGGAAAAGGAGGCAGGTGGCGCGGGGTAGGAGGAGAGGGACGAGGCGGGCGGCGCGGACCGAGGCCATCGACAGCCTCGCCGGCGTCGAAGGCGTGCGGTGCAGAGAGGAAGAGGGGGAAAACGCGGGCGGCATGGGGAGGAAGAGAGGAAGTGGCGGCGCAGAGAAGGGAAGGGTGCATTTATATGGTCATATGGGGAGCTGCTAGGGTTAGTAGTTAGGTGGGCTGCTTGTTTGTTAGGTGGGCCGTGCTACATGGGCTGTTAGGTGGGCTTCATCGTGCCGGCCTGTTATGCGTGCCGGGCCATGCTGCCCACTGGGCTGGGGGGTCGGCCCAAGCACGGCCCGATGCTTCGTGTCGTGCCGGCCCGGCCCATGTAATTTCGGGCCGTGCCGTGCCTGGGCCGGGCCAAAAATGCCGTGCTTCGTGCCTGCCCATTTGGCCCGGTCCATTTGGCCAACTATAGGTCCTGGTCCCGGTGTGTGTGCAGCAGAGCTTTGTTTACTGAAATGTGATCACGTTGTCACACGCATAAACACTTTACTTATCAAGCGACGCCGAACATCTGGTTCGGCCGTTGGTGGAGGCGAGAAGTGTGTTGCTCTTCGACTGGATTCCCTTGTTTTGAGGACGGAGAAGGACTCTTGTGCTAGCTGCGCTGGTGCGAACACTCGGACGCACATCCTCGGCAGTCAACAGAAAGCGTCATCGTGCAGTCAAGCCGCAATTCCACCGTCCAACAAATCCATGGGTGGTGGCCTCTTGCTGCCGTTGTTGCCGGCTATCATGCGCGGCCAAAGCCATCTGTATTGAAACACGGAAAGCAGAGCAAGCTTTAATTCCCAATATCTTGTTTATCCTGAGAAAAATTAACACTACCTCCGCGCGGTCAAATTTATAATGCTTTGACTAAAATAATTCCAGACACCTCCAAATTTGGCTGGTTGGTGCGCAGAACTGCAACGTCGTAGCAACGCGTGTCATAGTCAAAGGCGGAGACTAGACTTGTTTAGCACATTATTTAGTACATTAATTCCTACTCCATTACGCATGACCAACTCTGCAAGCGCACCCCTCCTCTATTTAAGATTTGATAATTGACAGTAATCTTCTTCCCTATGGTTCGATGCATGTTGTGTTTTATTTTCTCTAGCTTATTGTTGAATGTTTTTATCTGATTGGGCATGTGATTTTTGTATATAGTGTGTGCTTAGCCATGAGCTGGTGGAAAAATGGCAACAATGATGGCATTTGTGGCAGCGGTGCGAGGGGCGCACCGAGGGAAGAACTGCAGTTGTAGTTGCGCCTGATGCCACCTGGAGAGAGGGTTGAGGCTGATGAAGGTCACGACAGTGACTGTTCATCGCCAATATCATGTGTCATCGGACAACAGCCCAGCGAAGCGAGGTAGATGACGTTTTATGTTCCAGGACACGGCCCATGGGCCCCACGATCAGAACTAGATGGTAGGGTTCCTAGCGTCGAAGTCCTCTCTGTATGTCTCTCGGGCTCACCCGCTAAGTGTTCGATACATTGGCCCAGCGTGCACGAAATGTATCTTGATTAATTCTTGGCTCATCATATCACACGCAGCTGAAAGCTGTGATTAAATTGTGGATCTATAGTAGTAGTAGGCGGCTAGTAGTACTCTCAACTCATCAACGAACACACTGATCACATTCACATCACACGCAACTGACAGTTGTGATTCTATTGTAATTCTATTGTAATGTATTGTAGATCTATAGTAGTGGATCCACACAAACACTAAGATTCAATTCAGAGCACGAACTCGACGGTAGCTGGACGGCCATCGTGCACCACCTCCACGCCGGTCAACACCAAACCAGAAACCATGCACTACCTGAAAATCAAAGTTTGCTGAGTCTTCGAAACTTTGCTGAGTGTTTTTTTTTTACACTCGGAAATGCCGAGTGTAAAGAAAACACTCGGCAAGATAAACTTTGCCGAGTGTAGTATTATTTTTGACACTCGACAAAGTGAAATTCAAACCACATTTTAAAGCCCTAAACAAATTCAAATTAAAAAGTGTAGAACTACGAAATTGTATAACTTCTAAAGATCTACAGGCACT